CATTTTGATCTTACTTTTGTACATGGTGTTAGGCAGAGATCTGAGCCCATTTTTTTTTTGCATGTAACCATCCAATTTTGCCAGCACAATTTGTTAAAGAGGCTTTCCTTACTCTACTTCACATTTCTTGCTCCTTTATCAAAGATTAGATGATCTTATGTTTGAGGGGAGATGTCAGTATATTCATCCCTGTTCCATTGGTCTGCAGCTCTGCGTTTGTTCCAGTACCATGCTGTTTTAATTATTATGCTTTGTAGTAGAGTTTGAAGTTAGGGAGGTTGATTCCTCCCATTTTCTTTTTCCCAAGAATTGCTTTAGCTATTTGTGAGGGCTAATTGTTCCATATGAATTTCAGGAGTGTTTGCTCCATTTCTTTGAAGAATGTCATGGGTATCATTATAAGGATCGCATTGGATTTGAAGAGTGATGTATGTTTGATGCAGGAATACATACTGCTAAAAGGAACTATGCATGAGAGATCGAAAGAGCTAAATTTAGTGAGCCTAACCATCTCTGTCATGAGCCCATAGGCAATCTTCTGACCTTTATTGATTCCCTCTTAGAGTCATGGTTTGATTTCTATTTTGGTTTTCTTTTGGGCCCACACCCAGAGGTGCTTTGGCTGCCTCCAGCTCAGTACTTGGAGGTCTCTCTTGACAGTGCTTAGAGGACCATGTGATGCTGGGGATTGAACATGGAGCTCTTACATACAAAGCATGTGCTCAGCCTGTTGAACTAGCTCCGCAGCACCAGAATCATGTTCTTTTAATTGTATAAGCTAAGATATGCAAAGAAAACCAATTATAATTGTAAAATAGAGCTATCAAAATATTTAAAAGACTTGGTTGTGAAATAAAACATGCTTTTTTAACAAATTTGGTGGCAGAGCTAACAACTATGAAGTAGTGATATATCAGTTGTAATGTTACAGGAGAAAACTGTGATTTCTCTTGGTGACAAAGCCACGGGTACTTCTAATGCCACTGAGATTTGCTGCCTAACTCAGTGAAATGCTGACTTTCAGTTAAAGATGTTGAAAATAAAGGTGTGTATGTGTGTGTGTATGTGGTGTGGGGGGTCCCCCATCAGAAAATCAAAGAACCCAAAATTCTCTTCTTGAGTTCCTTAAGGGTCTGTGGAATCCAGGGCACTAACTCCTGGCCCAATCACACTGGGCTTTGTGGCCAGGCAAAGGGTTCAGACTGAATGTGACAGGGAGCCACTGGGGAATTTTAAACAGGAAAAACTATGTGATCTCAACAGATTGTAGGAAAACAGGAATGGAGATAGGAGGCATTTATGTGGTTCAGATGAAAGATGGAGATGGCTAGAAAAAATAGTCGCATGAAAGAGAGATGTGAAATATTTTGTGATGTATTCCGAACAAACTGACAGGACCTGCTAAAAGGTTAGGCATAGCAGCAGTGAATGAGAAAAGGAAGAATAAAGATGGCACCATCTGAGACTGTTGATCAAGGACACCAGTTCTCCATGTTGCCATGTACTGGTGTAGGAAACGTGGGGAAGAAATAGGTTTGTGGGAGCTGCTGAGATAGTACAGGGGGTAAGGCAGTTACCTGGCTTGTGTCCAACCAAGGTTTGATCCTCAGCACCACATATGGACCCCCCTGGAAACCACCACCAGGAAAGATCCCTGAGCACAGAACCAGGAGTAAGCCCTTAGCACTGCAGGGTGTGGCAGGAAGAAAGAAGAGAAAGAAAAGAAAGAAGGAAATAAAGAAAGAGAGAGGGGGAGGGGTGGAGGGAGGGAAAGAAAAGGGGAAAGAAAAGAAGGGAGGAAGGGGAAGAGATAGGTCTGTGAGAGAGATGGAGTGATGAGTATTAATCCAGTGTTCCATTGCACACCTTGTAAAGTTTGAAGTGTTTACTACAAATATAGAATGATCTAGTGAGCAGCTGGAGACAGGAGTCTGGAATAGCAGAAGACAGTTGGGCTGGAGAATGATACACACTCTCTTTAATTGAACCTGATGTTCTGAACAAAAACCGACACTTATGACAACTGGAGAGGGTCTTTACCACACCCCAACAAGCTGCCTTTCCTACTGTCCTTGAGTAAGGGAGACTCCCTTTTTTTTGACTACGGAGAAAGTGAAAGAACTTGATCAAGTTCACACAGCATGGAAGGGGCTGTGGGAGTTGGGGGAGGGCACTGGAAACCATGCTCTGTCTTCAGCTTCCAAGTCCAGCTTTATTTGTACTAGCTCTCCAACCTGATCCACTGTCAGAGTAAATAAAAGTTAGAATAAAGTCTGAAACTCCAAGCAAGCAACACTTCGGTTGAAAGAACATCAGCCTGCAGTGTTCCAATACTGGCTCCTCGACCAGAAAACCTTGAACAAGTAACCCCCTGAGGCTTAATATTTCTATTCAAAATGGAAATAATACCACCACCTGGTGTTATTAAATGAATCTTAAAAGCTGACACCTAAGAGGCACTCAGTGCATATTTTTGGTTGAACTAGGATTGTATAATTTTTAAATGGACATTTGGTACTATCTTTTCTTTTATATTTCAAGGTAGTTTTCTTCTAGGAAAAAAAAGATAGTAATTATGAGTAAAACTGTACAAAGCACCTTGAATAATTTGCTGGATTTCTTATGCTTCTCATGACCTATGGAAAAATAGGTGGTATTTCATGGTTATTCACATTTTTTTAAAAAAAAAGATTGAGTGGAAACTACACATTTTAACCTCATAGCAACAAAACAGTATGTAGCCATTCTCTTGGAAATTTCAAAGTATTAAGAATGTGCTAGAATTTAGTATACTAGACTAGAATTTTAGTCTAGTATATTAAAAGCAGTCAACTTGAAACTGTGAATTCACATACCAATAAAGTTTCTCCTTACCAATTTATTCTAATTTCTATTGTTAAGATTATTTCTGGTGGGGGCTGGAGCGATAGCACAGCGGGTAGGGCATTTACCTTGCACGCGGCCGACCCTGGTTCAATTCCCAGCATCCCATATGGTCCCCCGAGCACCACCAGGAGTAATTCCTGAGTGTATGAGCCAGGAGTAACCCCTGTACATCGCCGGGTGTTACTCAAAAAGAAAAAAAAAACTGATTCTTTCTGGTAAAGGGTACAAGCATCTCAAGTGTTTATTCATTTGTTTTCTTTCTTTATTTTGATGGTGCTGGGGGAGCTGCTCCCAGCTCTGTGCTTGGGGACCATGTGGTGCCAGGGATTGAATCCGGGGCATCTGCATGCAAAGCCTGCCCTCGGCCTATTGAGCTGTTGAAGTGTTTACTACAATGGCTCTCTGACCCCAATATTCTTTTATCCACATTAAGCACCCACTATGCTCCAATACTGTTGTTGAATCAGGCATTCCAGAATGAAAAAAACAGGCGTCCCTGTCATGAAATTCACACTGAAATAAGGAGTGAAAAATAAACAAATAAAAGAGAAATAAATAACAGAGTTATTTCAGAGAAGTTCTCTGCTCTGTTGAAAATAGAGCTGGAAATGTATGCAAGTATAGGGAGTATTTTCTTCTTTAAAAAATTTTTTTTTACCAAATAAAGGGTGCTGGGAAGATTTGCCCAGGATGGGAAATGCATGCTGAAAGTAGTCTATAGACCGAACATGGTTGCCACCCAATGCCTCTTCTGCAAACCACAGCACCCAAAAGGAGGAGAGAGAGAACAAAGGGAATGCCCTACCACAGAGGCAGGGTGGGATGAGGGATGGGGGGTGGGAGGGAAACTGGGATTGGTGGGGGTGGAGAATGGGCACTGGTGGTGGGATGGGTACTCGATCATAGTATAACTGAAACCCAAGCACAACAACTTGTAAGTCTACAACTGTACCTCATGGTGTTTCACTAACAAAACAAAAAATAAATTAAAAAATATTTTATTGAGTGACAGTGAGATACATAGTTACAAGGTTATTAGTGATTGGGTTTCAGTTATATAATGTTCCAAAAGCCATCCCTTCACTTGTGTACATTTCCCACCACCAATGTCCCCCATCTCCCTCTTGTTGCACTGCCCCCATCCAGGCCTGGCTCAGCAGCAGGTTCTCTCTCTCTCTCTCTCTCTCTCTCTCTCTCTCTCTCTCTCTCTCTCTCTCTCTCTCCTCTCTCTCTTTCTCTCTCTCACCTTTCCCCTCTTTGGGCATTATGGTTTGCAATAGATACTGAGAGGTTATCATATATATCCCTTTACTTACTTTCAACACTCAGTTTTTGTCCAGAGTGATCATTTACACTTGTCACAGTGGTCCTTTCTCTCTCTTAACTGTCCTTTGTCCACACACATTTGTGGCAAGCTTCCAACCATTGACTTACCAGTCCTCCTAGCCCCTGTTTTACCTGGCCATGGAAATTAGTCTCATACTATTTTTTTTCAAATCCCACAAATGAGTGCAGTCATTCTGTACAGGTCCCTCTCCTTCTGACTCGTTTCACTCAGCATGATACTCTCTATGTCTATCCATTTATAAGAAAATTTCATGACTTTATTTTCTCTAACAGCTGCATAGTTTTCCATTGTGTAGATGTATCATAGTTTATCCATTCATCTGTTCTCAGGCACTTGGGTTGTTTCCAGATTCTGCTATGGTATGTAGTGCTGCAATGAACATAGAAGAGAATATGGTGTTTCTGCTGTGTGTTTTGGGGCCCTCACAGTATATTCAGGGAGTATTTTCAATGAGAAGATTCTATCTGAGTTGAGACCTAATGGTGAAAAGGAACCAACTACAAGAATATGGAGAAAGCCTCTTTCCTGTGTGTGAACAACCACTTGGGAAGTTTGGGAAAGGAGCAATTGTGGTCAGAGGTCAGCAGGGGTGATTTAAGTCTTATAGTTAAATCTTGGCATTTTTGGCTGGTGATGTGATTCAATTGGTTTAATCATATGAGCATTTGAGATACTGAGTTTGACCCCCAGCACCACAAGACCACTTCCAGCCCCACCCCAGCAGCCCTAGGTATGGATCTGATCTTTGTTTGTTTATTTCATTGTTATTCATCACCAACATTTCTAAAACTGTCAGTAAAGAACTGGGTCTGGGGACACATGCGTGGAGTCTTATTATAGCAAATGTTTAGTCTGTCCTGATTATTACAAAATAAGAACAGCAAGAATATTCATAGCTAATAATTTTTAAATACTAAAAAAATTAATCTGCTTCTAACTGTTGTAGAGTTTTAAGTACAGGAGTAATATGGCCTGATGTCTGTTTTTACATGATCACTATAAAGCCCTGGACTCTTAGGTTGACCAGATTGGAAATGGAGAGGTTATTATTACATCCCAAGTAGATTACAGTGGTACAAGAGGGCAGTCGTGGACATGAAGAGCACAGCACAGAGTCCAGATATATGTCTGAGGACGTGCTGGCAAGAACTGGCAGGGTTTATTGAAGGGCCAGATACATGGAATGAAGAGAGAAATAGGACTGCACCACTGGTAGAGGTTATTGTCATTTACTGATATGGAGGAGACCCAGAGAAGAAAAGGATCATGAAGTAAATCCTAAATCAAGATTTCTGTTTTGGGCAGATAACATTTGAGTTTTCTCTTAGTCATCCTAGTAGAGCTGTTGACTGGCCTGTTAAATATACACATCTGGAGTTTTGGCAAGAAGCCAAGGCTGGAGATTGGCATTTTAGGGTCATGAGCAAATCCTCTGTAAAGTTTTCATTCGAGGTACATTGCTTTGAGCCTGCTTTGATGGATATCTGGAGCAAGCATCTCCTGCTCCCCTGGAGTTAGAATTTCCTTCTGAGCGACTTCAGCTGGCCTGAAAACTCATCAAGATGTAGAGTTCAGGGATTTAAAATACTAGTAGGAGTTTGTTCTTGCTGTCTACTGTGTTTCAAGCAAACTGAGAAGCAGGGTTTTAGGTTGCATCTTTGGTTTTAAGTCAGGCAAAGGACCTGTCACAGAGCTGCTGACCATGCCACTGCTCCATTGACATGGCAGCTCCCCAGCCTGCTTGGCAGCTTCCTGCAGGCTATGTCAGACTTCAAGAATAAGACCCACCCCCAGAAAGGCCAGAACTTGGTTAATAACTCTGCTAAGTGTCAGCAAACCAGGAGACACTCGTGCAGATAAACCCAAGTGAGTAAACATTGTGAGGCCAAGCCTTCTTTTCCCCTGTCCCATAAATTTATTATGGTTCTATCAGTTGTAATCCCTTCTATCAGTTTCTTTCATCCTTGTGATGGTTTCTCATTAAGGAGATTCATGGGGGAAGTTGTAATCGATCAGAGCTATCAGCCACCAGAGTATAATCTGGTTCTAGTACAAACTGACCTGCATAGTGTCTGTCTACCTCGGCGATATAAGCCGATTAGCTCAGAGCTGAGAGTCAGAATCTAATGTCCTAAAGCACTGTACCCCCTTCACCTTATTCACCACTCGGGGATTTAACAAATCGACACTGTTATTATATCTGAACCCACAGTTAACCCACCTTGAAAGGAAGCACTAGTGTCTGGCTCAGCTAGATGTACCTTCACAGTTGCTGAAGGCTGCCACTTGAATCCTCGCTACTATCTCTGGCTCTAGGGTGTTGACAGCCTTGGAGGGTTCTGTTATGTTTGCTTGGTTGGTTTCTGTGCTTATTTCCAGGACTAGATCAATCCCATAGTTCAGGAACAAGTAGTAATTGGAATGAGATTGCCACAGAAAAAGAGGCTGCTCCTTGCAGGGATTTCGATAGAACACTCTGGCTGCTTGATGTGCTTGATGGAACCAGACAACAAAAGGCTGGAAAGGGTCTAGCTCTGTCTCACCCACATGCCCTCCAGCAGCCCTTTGGGGGGTGGGGGGAGGGGTGTCTATACCAGGTGAAAGATTTCATACATTAGTCTGTGTTCCTTTAATTGAGGAAGTGTTGGTTTACAAGACTAAATGTTTCTATGTTTTATAAGTATAGTGTTAAGGACTGTGCCCCTCACCAAAGTGCCAGTATCCCTCCACCACTGTCTATAGTATTTTGCCCATTCCAGGTTCTCCCCTCATTCTACTTGGTATTCTCAATTACTGTGCTCACAATCTAAGGTTATTTTTCACCAGAAGTTATCCATTCCTCTGCATTGTTTCTTTTGGTTTTAATTTTTTTTGGTGGGGGTGGGGGGCAGGGATGGAGGGGTGGTGGTTTGTTGTTATTGGGCCACCCCTGCCAGTACTCAGGGTATACTCCTGGCTCTGGCTCAGGGATCACTCCTGGCAGGGATCAGGGGACCATATGTGGTGCCAAGGATCAAATCCAGGTTGGCCACATATGAGGCAAGTGCATTACACACTGTACTATCTCCCTAGCCCTGCTTTATTTCTTTATATATCACACATGGGTGAGGTCCTCTAGTATTTATCTTTCTCCCTCTGTCTTATTTCACTTACCATGACTTACCTCCCAATCCAGCTACATTGTCGCAATAAGCAAGATCTCATCTTTTCCTATAGCTGAGTAGTATTCCATTGTCCACATATGTAACCTCTTTTATCTGTACGTCTTGGGCACCCATTGATCTTATTGGTATTTGGGTTGTTTCCAAAACCTCACTATTGTAAATAGCACTGCAGTGAATGTAAGTATACATAAATCTTTTCAAATTAGTATTTTTTTATTTACAGAGGAATCTGCAGCTTTTAAAATACAGCTAGCTGACTACCAGGAGGATTACTCCATAGCTTAGAGGCCAGCCGGGCATTCTAGGGGAAAGGGCAGCTCAGATAGAGGAGGGAGCACCAAATAAAGGGTGTTTGGAGGATCCTCCCAGGAGGGGAGATGCATGTCGAAAGTAGACTATGGACTGAACATGTTTGCCACTCAATGCCTCTTTTGCAGACCACAACACCCAAAAAGAGAGAGAGAACACAAGGGATTGCCCTGCCACAGAGGCAGGGGGGGATGGGGGTATGGGGGTGGGGGAAATATTATCCATGGTGGTGGAAAATGGGCACTGGTGGAGGGGTGGGTATCTGATCATTGTATAATCGAAACCCAAGCACAAAAAATTGTAAATCTACAACTGTACCTCATGGTGTTTCACTAATAAAAAAGAAAAAGAAAAAAGAAAGTAAAATACAGCTGACTGGGACAGAGTGATAATACAGTGGGTAGGGCATTTGCCTTGCATGCGGCAGACCTGGGTTCAATTCCCAGCATCCCATATGGTGTCCCAAGCACCACCAGAAATAATTCCTGAGTGCAGAGCAGGAGTAATCCCTGAGTATCTCCAGGTGGGAAGGAAGGAAGGAAGGGAGGGAGGGAGGGAGGGAGTAAGGAAGGAAGGAAGGAAGGAAGGAAGGAAGGAAGGAAGGAAGGAAGGAAGGAAGGAAGGAAGGAAGGAAGGAAGGACAGGGAGGAAGGAAGGAAGGAAGGAAGGAAGGAAGGAAGGAAGGAAGGAAGGAAGGACAGGGAGGAGGGAGGGAGGGAGGGAGGGAGAGAGGAAATACAGCTAACCACCCAGTATAAGTATACGCATAAGCCATAAGTATAAGCTGAAAACTAAGTTTTAAAAAAAAGTCTTCAAAAATAATACTTTATGGGGTCAGAGCAATAGTACCGTGTGTTCCATGTGTTCCCCAGTATCCCATATTCCCCCATGCATCACCTAGAGTGATTCCTGAGTGTAGAGCCAGGAGTAACCCTTGAGTATTGCCAAGTGTGGCCTAAAAACAAAAAGAAACAAAGTTTTCCAAATAATACAACATAAGTGATTAGTATCTCGCACCAGGGCAACTATCATAAATATTCCATCTTGCTCTGGTGAGAACACTTAAGGTGTGACCTAGAGAAAATGGCTCAAAGTCCCTACCTTGCAAGCTGATGAGCACCACTTGATGCAACTCCAATTTTTAAAGTTTTTTTACTTGAAAAAAAATGAAACTCTTGGGGCCAGAGTGATAGTACAGCAGGAAGGGCATTTGCCTTGCACGCAACCAATCCAGGCTCAATCCTTGGCATCCCATTGAGAACCTCCAGGAGTAATTCCTGAGTGCAGAATCAGGAGGAGCCACTGAGCATTGCTGGATGACCAAAAAAAAAAAAAAAAAAAAAACACCTAAAAAATTTTAAAATTAAGAAAAAATAAAACTTAACACTGTTGATGTAGGATATGCTCAGTATCAGTGATAGGGAGTTGAGGACAGGAGCTGAGAAGAAAGCTCAATGCTCTGAGCACATGCTCTGCTTGGGGAGGCCTGGGTTACTCGTCAGCACTGCATGGTTCCCTGAGCACAACCAGGAGTAGCCCCAAAGCACAGAGCCAAGGGTAGCCCCTGAGCACTCTCAGGTCTATCCCCAAAGTTTCACCACCCAAATGAATAATTTAATTTGATGTGGTAGAAGAGGCTGGGCTAGAGCGATAGCACAGCAGTAAGGCGTTTGCCTTGCACACAGCCAGCCCAGCCGAGACGGGTTCAACTCTCTGCAAGCTACAGAGAGTATCTCACCCACACGGCAAAGCCTGGCAAACTACCCGTGACATATTCAATATGCCAAACACAGTAACAACAAGTCTCAAAATGGAGACATTACTGGGCCCACTCAAGAAAATCGATGAACAACGGGAGGACAGTGTGGTAGAAGAGAAATTTTTTTTAAATAAGATAAGGTTGAAAGGCAGAAACACAAACAAACCTGCCTTCCTACCCCAGCCTATTTGTTATTGAATGTTTGAGAGATGAAGATACTGCTATACAATGGGTTGAATGCTCTGTGTATAACAGATAAGAGAGGTAGAAGACATACAAAGCAAGAAATGTAAATGAATAATAATTGAGATCAACCTTTTGTCTCTTATGAATTAGGCCAAAATGTATGATGATGTAGCTGAAATTGGATGCCCAGAAATCAGACTTGGTTGTGGTTTAGTAAAAAAGAATTAACAAAAGGTCAGCATGTGAATATTTTATAAAATTACCATAGTGATACCCGTGGCCAGCCAACCATTCAGCTACCTGATATACCCAATAGAACAATAAGACTTATATTCCATTTCACTGACATTTTACAAAAATGCAGTTTAAGTCTGTGCATGTGCTGCATTTGGTACCAAAGAAAATGTAAACATGGTGAGCAGGCAGCAATAAAGTAAAACTTGCTTCAATTCCTCCTCCTTATCATTCACTATCTGAAAGTGAATGACAAAACTCTGATCCTGGGATTTTTGTCTATATGGACATATAGATCCATTCTATGTGTGCAGATGATATAGAATGTGGATTATAATGTTAGTGCTCACTTAATAGCGTGTCTGAAGACTGAGATATTTCACAATATACTCAATTTCTGGAGTGATAGCACAGCAGGTAGGGCATTTGCCTTGCACGCAGCCAACATGGCCGACCCGAGTTTGATTCCTTCGCCCCTCTTGGAGAGCCTGGCAAGCTGCCAAGAGTATCTCGCCCACACGGCAAAGCCTGGCAAGCTACCTGTGATGTATTCGATATGCCAAACACAGTTAACAAGTCTCCATGGCTTTGAGGCCAGCCACACATGCTAGGGTAAAATGCAGCTCAGATAAAGAAGGGAGCACCAAATAAAGGGTGTTGGGAGGTTCCTCCCAGGATGGGAGATGGGTGATGAGAGTAGACTATAGACCGAGCATGATTGCCACTCAATGTCTCTTTTGAAAATCACAGCACTCAAAAGGAGAGAGAGAACAAAAGGGAATGCCCTGCCACAGAGGTAGGGTGGAATGGAGGGAATGGGGGGTGGGAGGGATCCTGGGATCCGTGGTGGTGGAGAATGGGCATTGGTGGAGGGTTGGGTACTCAATCATTGTATAACTGAAACCCAAGCACAAAAATTTGTAAGTCTACAACTGTACCTCATGGTGTTTCACTAATAAAAAATTTTTTAAAACAAGAAAGAATAAATACTACTTGAATGTAAAAAAAGAAAAAACAAATCTCACAATGTTACTGGGCTCACTTGAGCAAATCGATGAACAACAGAAGGACAGGGACAGGGACGCAATTTCTATCCCTGAGCTTTCTATATATTTACTGCTTTTTTCCCTGTGTTCCTGGTAGACAACACCCCTCTTCCTGTCCCCTACACCCATGTCTCTTTGTATCTCCCACTCTATGGATGTGGGTGTTTCTCTAATGTTTGATACACAACTCATACATACATTTGTATTTACAAAAGTGATCATTTTATTTGTTTTATCCTCATGTTTATTGTAGGAGAACCAGAATATCTACAAAAAGAAAAAAATTAAAAGCCATTCATGATTCCACCACTAAAAAACTGCATTTTTTTGCTGGCTATCCTGATGGTCTTTTTCTGAGTAAATCCACTGTAGCTGTGCAAATATCAGTGTCTATGTCTATGTAAATATATATTTCTAGAAGTAGGTTCATATTCTACATTCCGTCCAGTAGAATTCTTTTTATCTCCTTAGCAGTATAGCATTGCAGCAAATATAAAATGTGTGGTATTGTTTGAAATTATTTTAAGTAAATTCTGTAATTTATTTAGTCAGTCCCCTATTGCTGGAAATTTGAGCTGTAATCAGATTTTCTCTGCTATACACTCTGCTTGTATGAATATCCTGTGTCAGCACATTTGGATACTTTGGTAGAGTTCTGTACCGTGGCACAGGGTCACTGTTTTCTCATTAATAGATTATTACCACTGGTTTTATTCATGGGGCCTGTGTTTGTAAGAGATAAATAATGGGTCAGAGGGATTAATGGGTACAGTGGTTAAGGTATTGGCCTTGCATCTGACCAACCTTTTTCGGTCCCCAGCCTAACATCGCAAATATGTCTCTGAACACCAACAAGAATGATTCCTGACCAGTCGGGATGAGAGATGTGTGCAGAAAGTAGATAAAGGACCAAACATAATGATCTCTAAGTGTCTGTATTGCAAACCATTATGCCCAAAAGTAGAGAGAGAGTATGGGGAATATTTTCTGCCATGGAGGCAGGGGGAAGGTGGGAAAGGGGAGGTATACCAGGGATATTGGTGGTGGGGAATGTGCACTGGTGGAGGGATGGGTGTTTGATCATTCTGTGATTGTAACACAAACATGAAAGCTTGTAACTATCTCATGGTGATCCAATAAGATTTAAAAAAAAAAAAAAAAGAGTGATTCCTGAGCAGAACCAGTGATAAGCCCTGAGCACTGCTGGGTATGCTCCCACACACACCTAAAAGAGAGACACACAGGTTTCTGAAGAAGTAACAGATATTAACAAAATAGTACCTGCTAAAAGAACTTTTACCTAAATAAGACCATCAGCAAACAACACAAAAAGCACATCTTCCACTCCCCCAGAAAGTATTAGTATGGTGAATTCCTGCCATCGAATGATTGTGAGCATATAAAGTAGCCTGGAAATCTTTCAGGAAGATATTAGCTTGAAGAACAATTAGAAAACAGGAAACTGAGAACAAGAAACAGTGATTTCTAGTTTGCCTTTATAATTTATTTACATCAGAGAGATAAGTAGTAATTCATAATTACCTCCTTCCAAACCTGAATCATTTCATAGGGTAATGTCAAGGGTCATGTAGATAAGTAAAGTACTAAATTAGTTTTAATAAATTGCATTCAGAAGTCCCAAGTCAAAGAAATGAAGAGAAGTCAATGAGAACCAGCCTGTCGCCATGTGACATGTTTTCTGAGACCCAACAACATTCCAGCAAGATGGAGATTTGAAAAAACCAGACTGGCTTCCAGATTTGTCTTTAGGAAAATCTAAGCTACAAGGAGAGTTGGTTCTGCAGTTTGGATACCATTGCTTAAGAATCGGACTCTCCAAGACGTGTCATTTTACTCTTCAGATATTTCACTAACTGTGCACTGAACCAGAGCAGAGAGAACCACAGCCTTTCATTTCCACCTGTGAAACACCTGGAGCAATCTTTGACCTCACTGTGCTCTGTGACACTGGACTAATTATGGTCACTCTCTGCTTCCAACCCAGAGCGATGCTCCACATATTTAAGCAAGGTCATGATCATTAGTAAGAGCTCTTTGGATTTCTTTGAAGCTGCTGACAAGTCTAGGATGACATGACAACACATAACAAAGTTAATGTGATTTGCACTTGATCGTTTTAGTACTTATATCCAGTTTTTACATTGCTGCAGTTAAATTCACAAGCAAATCAACTCCCCCAGAATCTGTCTTAATATTTATTCAGGTTGCCAGAAGTGATCCCTGAGTGTAGAGCCAAGAGAAGCCCTGAGCTGTCGAGTGTGGCCAAAACAAAAAAACGACAAAACAAAACCAGTCTAGAGGTCAGAGACATAGTAGAGTGGTTAAGGCACTTACTGTGCTGGCACCTGACCCTGGTTCAATTCCCAGCATTCCATATGGTCCACTGAGCCTGACAGGAGTGATCACTGAGCACATAGCCAAGAGTAAGCCCTGGCACAGCTGGTTATAGCCCACACAAAAATAAATAAATAAAACCAAATAAACTAGTATTACCCTGTATTAAAAAAAAAAAAAACCTAGTCTTTCCAGGAAATATACAAAGATAGAGGATTTGGATTTGAGCAACAGGGTCCTGCTGAGTTAACCCTCCTATACCCATTCTCAAGGAGGCCAAGGAGGCAGTGAGAAGAACTGAAGTCAACTTCAATCCTGGCAGACAACATGGTCCCCCAGTATTGCTAGGTGGAGATCCCTGGAGATCCCCAAACATTGTAGGGTGTGGCTCAGAGCACTGCTGGGTTCCAGCAGCACTGCATTATCAAACCTAAACGTAAAATTGTCTGGCACAATTGGTTGAGTATCACTAAAGTGATGTAGCTTCCCTAAGCACTGCTTGGGTGACACCCACCCCCAAAGAAATCAAACCCCAGGATCAAGACTATGAATGACTATGACCATATGACAGAGATTTTTTTTAAAATTTTTATTAGTGAGACACCATGAGGTACAGTTGTAGATTTACAAATTTTTGTGCTTGGGTTTCAATTATGCAATGATCAAATACCCATCCCTCCACCAGTGCCCATTTCCCACCACCATGGATGCCAGTATCCCTCCCACCCCCCATGCCCCCCATCCCACCCTGCCTCTGTGGCAGGCATTCCCTTTTGTTCTCTCTCTCCTCTTGGGTGTTGTGATTTGCGAAAGAGGTATTGAGTGGCAATCATGTTTGGTCTATAGTCTACTTTCAGAATGCCTCTCCCATCCTGGGAGGATCCTCCCAACATCCTTTATTTGGTGTTCCCTTCTCTATCTGAGCTCCCTTTTCCCCTAGCATGTGTGGTTGGCCTCCAAGCCATGGAGCAAACCTCCTGGTACTAATCCCGGCCACTCTTGGGTGTTAGTCTCCTGTTTTGTTACTTTATGTTCCCCATATGACACAGATTTTTGTGGGTCAGCTGTTAACTTAAAAAAAATTTTAATTAAAAAAAAACTCTCCCTTCCTCAAGGGTCATTGTGATTCCCAGTAATAATTATTAACTGTTTTCAAAATAGCTGGTCACCTATACCCATTACTGCAGTGGTAGTTATAGTCGCTGTTGTCATATTATTATCATGCTCAGTCTTATTCAGGAGACACGGGTGTGGGAATGAGCCTTGACTGCTTCCTGCCATCTCAGAAGAGATCAGAAGTGCCTTTGTCCAGGTTTTGAAGACAAAGACAGCTCTAGGGTCACATGTCTCATCTCCACTCGAGACTGGAGCCATTTCTCAACCATCCTCTTCTGTCTCTCTTTCCCTGACAGTGGCTTCGAAACCCAGGCCCCCAGCACGAGAAGCGGACTCTGTTTGGGGACATGGTGTGCTTCTTGTTCATCACACCGCTGGCCACCATATCAGGCTGGCTGTGCCTGAGGGGCGCCGTGGACCACCTGCACTTTAGTAGTCGGCTCGAAGCCGTCGGACTGATTGCACTCACTGTCGCACTCTTCACTATTTACCTCTTTTGGACACTAGTAAGTACGGCCCTTGGTTCGGGGTGGGAGTGTTTAAGCCTTTGGAACTGGAAGGCACAGGCAGCCCACCTGCCTACAGCACTGTCTCATCTGTCTAATAGAAGACAAGTCTTAAGATGATAATATGAGAGACAAACAGACAGACAGAGAGTGGGTGTCTCTGTGTGCTGCTCGAAATAGCAAATCTACAAAAAAAAAGAGTCCTGGCTTTTTTTGAGGGAAGCCCCAGCTTCCTGCCTCAGGGTTTTAAGGGAACCCCCTATTCAAAGACAACCTGGGGGCCTGGAACTAAAACAGTGGTTCAGGCAGGTTTGATACGCAGAGCATCGAGTACAGCCTTTGTAATCCCCAGCATCACATCCTCTGGCCTTTGTGTTGAACCACTGGCTTGGCTGGCTGAGAATTACAGGTGTCATCCACCCCTCTGTCCCCACCTCCTGATCACCACTTAGAGATTCCCACCACCCCCCCCCCCCCGTCCCCTCCAAAAAAAAGTACACTCCCTGAGCAATGCTCTCCTCCTATAGCCTTGGTCTCCATCTGTTCAGATGTGTGGCATTGTTTCTTGGAGTATATTGTTAATTATGTGGCCACCGTGGCTGAACTCCTGCTGGTCCTCACTTCCTTTCATCCTGACAGCCTAAAGCCTTTGCTGAGCAGAGTTGCACTTTGTCTGTTGGGATAGTAACCATGAATGGAAACTAATTTATCTAGCTCAGAAGCCGCATCCCAAGAAAAACCGGTTCCCAGTGTGTGTTCCTGCTCTCTATGAGGAAAAGAAAAAAGAAATTTAAACACCTGTGTGTGTGCTTAAAAAAAAAAAAACTCATGAAGGAAGTGATTGCTCGGGAACCAGTGGGCAGTGCCAGCAACGTGCAGCATTTTGCCTTTGCAACAGGGAAGAACGTCACCAGCCTTTAGAATATTTTCAGAGACCGGGGCCCCTGTTTCCTGGCATTACTCTCCTGGGTCTGCTCATTTCTAATCTAAACATGCTCCACTGTTATTCAATATGTATTTCCTGTCTAAAGTGGACCATTCCCAGATCCCATAGCTCAGAGTCAGCATGTGGAAGCCCCGGTCACTCTGCTTCCTCCCTTCCTCCTCCTCCTCTTAAGGCCAGTCCCACCAGCTGCACCCGGGCACGACCCCCCTGCTCACTTCCGTCTTGTTCATGGTGTTCAGACAGCAAGTGGAAACCCGTTTCAGTCTTGGAGGAACATGATTTGAAAGTTAGTAAAGGGCGTGCTTGAGCCCTGTGGCTCCTGTAGGCACCCCAGCCCCAACCTGATGAAGCCCCCAAACAAAGCCACTGTTGCCTGTTTTTCAGAGTATGTGCTTTAATCAGTCAGTGAGGCTCCCTCACAAGTCTGAAGGTCACTGTGCTGCAAGAAAGGCTAGGAAAAAAGAAATTAAATTGTCTCAGCAGACATCACAGAGGCTCAGGGAAGGAAAATTACTGTCTCCACTATAAAATAAGGATGGGAGTAGCCCCCATCCCACAACCTTCCCCTGGTGATCAGAGATTGGAATGAAAGCATATAGAGCGAATACTTCAGGAAAGGATTAAGTGTAAGTTTTTACCATGTCTAGAGATGTATCATTTATGGTTTTTTCTTAGAAGACACCTTAGGATGAAAGTGTAAACCCAAATGTTAGACTCTCAAACCAATTCAAGGCGCTTTGGAAAAACTGCTCTGAAAAGCATACGCTTAACCTAACAGGAACAGGGGACAGAGGTGAGAGACGCAGGAGGGAAGAAGGGAAGAATAGAAAGAAAAAGATTTCCTAGAGACCCCGCTCATCTCCCACTTCGTATGAAAAGAAGGCATGAGTAGGACATTTTCAGGAGAAAAATACCATGGTTCATGGAAAATACCATGCTTCATTCCGGAAATGCTTCCAAAAGGCTGTGTTGCCTAGGAAAGAGTGCCCACATGCAAAATCCAAGGGCTCTGGGTTTCAACCCAAGTTTGAGTATCCTACGAGCGTCACACAGGGTCCTGAGCCTCTCTGCAGGTCGTTCCTCTGCTGTGTGGCCAGGGGAAACGCAGACAGCGCTGGGTCAGGGGTTGTTGGGAGGAGTTGGTGAGTTGTGTGAGACATACATCGGACCAGCCAACCCTGACACGGGTTCTCTCCTCAAAACTGTCCCCCCACTTCCTGAGCCCCCAGGCCTTCTACAGAATGCAAAAACATATCTCTGCTTTGGTATGAGAACAGGCTGCAGCGTCAGCTCAGCAATAGGTTGCCGGATCTAGTCTAAGTCTTTCCCAGATGAGTGTTGCACCGAGCACCCTGGTAAGAGCCGTAATTCAGATGCTGACAGCACTTGGAAACTGCCCTCCAGCAGAAACACATTGTAAACAAGCTGTCAAGCTTAAGGAGAATATGCTGTGAAAATGTCTCCGATAAACAAACATGCTGTCAGTCCCGCCCGGGCTCCTCACAGGAGCTTTCAACAAGGGCCTCAGCGGCAGCACTGTAAAGAGAGCCACGCACCCTGCCAAGCACCCGAAAGCGCCTTTGGACTTCCTCACCCACCCATGCGGCTATGTAGAGTCTGTCTTGAGGCAAACTCCCATAGCCCTGTCCTCTTGGACATGTGTGAAAACACAGCCACTGGAACTGAGGAGGCCATGATCCCAGCCACCTTCACTTGAGTGCCGGCCACAAGCTATTCAAAGTCTGCAGGTGGTATTCCCAAGAACTAAATGAAAACTGAGTCCACATTAAATGTTATGTAATCTTCCATAGAGGAATTTGTGTTAGTCCCAGATGAGCAGTCTAAAAATAAGGATACCATGGTGCCGTGACACCCCCACCCCCACCCCAGGAAGTCCCTCCATTCCCTATATCACTGGTAACAGCCAGTAAGTAGCACAGAAAATGTTGACATTGCAGGAGAAAATGAACAATGAGTTCTTTTGGCTGACTTCAGTGCCTTGGAGTAATCAGTTAAGTTCCCGTTATGGAACTGCTGGACAATTGTCTTGACAAGAACCACTGAGGGTTGACACCCCTAGCAGCTTTGCAGATGAGTGCAGTGTGCTGGGTGCCAAGAATTTCTATGGGCCTGTTTGCTTCCAATCTTTCCTGCCACGTGATCATCAGAGATCAGTGAGCTGGACCATTTCTGGGAAGGAGCTTAGATGGCCTGGTCCTATTGGCATGCTTCAGGGGCACCATAACCTCCAGAGAGAGAGAGGGCAGAATAAAAATACATAATGAGCGGCTTTCCCCAGGCCTGCTGTGACTTTACAGCAAACCTTCAACCATAGTGTGTCACCTCACTGACACAGAGAAGGGGATGCTAATGATGTTTCCCAACTCTACTTTGCCATCCATGTGACCATGGCCCTTGGTGTAGACCTGACCCATCCAGGAGGTTAATAAATAGCCTTTGGATGAACAAATGATTATACTTGAAGAATCCCATCCTATAGGACTATTTTTAGAACAGCAGCACGGTGCTCATTTTTCTGATCCTCACCTTAAAGTCTCAGAATTCAACAGATTCCTGAATGAAGTTCTCCACTACACTTTGGCTATCGCTTCTGTTTGGCCAGTATTTGTTTTTCTAATCGAGTGCCTCTTTCTTTCTCTAAGTCAAACATCCTTTCTTCTATGCTGTTCCACTGCAGGGAGGGAGTGTCTTGGTGGTAGCATCAACCTGGGCTAGGTACAAGCCTGTGACCCCTTATGCATTGAAGCCAGGTTTCCTTTGGCATAATAACAGTCACGTCATATGATTCATTCCTCTGATTGATGGAATCTGCCTGCAGAGAGTGGTGGTTAAGGGCAATTGATAGAGATCCCTGCATAATAGGATTTCATTTATTTGTCTGAACAAGTGGGCTGACTTCCATGTTTCCTGCCAGGGATTCAGGAGACTTGCAAAGTCTTCAACTCCCCATGCTGCTTGAAACACAGCTTCTCACGCTCAGACATGTGAGCATCACCAAGAGATCTTGTTAAAATGCACACTCTGATTCCTTAGATCGGGGTGGGGGGATCCCCAAATTCTGGAAGTCTAACGAGCTCCCTGGTGAGGTGTCGACCACTGGACACCTGTCCCACTGAGTAAGGCCTTAAGGGAAACCTCATTTTCCCCCAACTTCTTATATCTGAAAAGGAGAATTACAAAATTATCATTTTTTTTCAGAGTTAATGCAGTAAAAATAATATGCCAAGAACATTGGCTGTACATGGCACTGCACTAAGTGTTATTCATGAATTCTCTCAGAAATCATTATTCACTGTTACAAACAAGGAAACTGCAGCTTAGGGACAACGAAGCACCTTCTCCTTCAGTGGAGGATATGCGCTTCAGCCCCAAGCGCCTGCTCCCGGGGCCCCACTGCTGTTGCCGTTCATAAAGAGCCGCTTCCATCCACCCTCAGTTGCTTCTCTACTACTCATGGACAAATGCCAAACACACTCAGCTCTCACAATCATGGAGAAGGAACTCTTGGTCTGAAATCCAGCTCTCATAATATTTCCAGATTCTAGGCTTCTTGTAGTGCCAGAGCTCTGCATTAGTGTTTGCGTTTTTATCTCTTCCCTATCCTTGGGCCTGAACCACAGGCCTGAACAACATGCCTCTTTCACATTTATGAATTATACCACACAGCACAGGACAGACCGATACAAGAGAATCAAATTTATACACACACACACACACACACACACCACACACACACACACACACACACACACACACACACACACCCCTACTTTGGCATGTTAAGAGCCTTTTGGGAAAAGCACATCTGTGTGAGTTTAAAAGCTTATATTTTCATACCCAAATCTCTCTGGCACTCAGCCCATGGCATCTGCTTTCTAGCCTCAGAAATCTGACCGATTGGCCTTGAATTTCACAATCCTGCCATGAAGACTAACAATCTCTTTCTGATCAAGGGCTGGTACTCTCCTCTGCTTTCAAGAAACACTGACCTCAAGCCACCATGGTCAACCCCTTCTCTGACCTACACCAGGGGCAACACCACTACCCCCACCCCCTGCCACTCCAGAATTCCACACTGCCCAGATCCAGATTGTTTGTCATCCTGAGGTGATGGACACCCTTTCACCCAATAACTAGGGGAGTTGTTAAGATACACTCAAACTGCAACCAACACCAGTTTTTAAAAGTATTTAAAGATACCTTTAAAAGTACAGACTGGGGGCTGGAGAAATAGCACAGTGGGTAGGGCGTTTGCCTTGCACGCAGCCGACCCGGGTTTGATTCCCAGCCAGGGAATCGAGCACCGCCAGGAGTAACTTCTGAGTGCAGAGCCAGGAGTAACCCCTGTGCATCGCCAGGTGTGACCCAAAAAGAAAAAAAAAAAAGTACAGACTGAACTTCCAGAGGAATTCCTAAGTCATCAGGTTTGTCTTCTCCAGAATACAACATAGATGCCAGCATCTTGTTCCATTTACCTGAGAAGGATGCCATTTTAGAAACAGTGATGTCACAATTGGCCATCAGTTCACCTCCCAAACTGCTGTGCAGTATACAAAGGATGCTTACACCTGAAGCAGTGTTGCCATCAGAAATCATATATAGTCATCCAGGCATTCAGCACACGCTGCTGAGCAATTTTTTTATGAGACAAGCACTGAAGCAGGCAGAGATGAATGCTCAACAGGTCCTGCTGTTCGGGTGGAGTATAGGGGGAGAAACAAGGACTTGAGGCAGGGCCCTTGATGCTATATGCTAAGGTAGACCCAAGCACCTGGCTGGCACTCATGGGCTGTACCTTAGCTCATCCTAAAGCTCAAGAGGAATAATGCAGAGAGCTTCCTGCCCATTGGAAGCCATGGAGTGGTGGAGCTGGAAGCAATTGGGGATTACCCATTTGGTCCACCTAGTACAGTGATAAAAGTTGTGCTTAGGGTCCTTTGAATTGTCCAGTGTCCAGCCTGTAGGAATCCCTAGAATCCCTCTTATTAGCAGAAAAGGAATCTGTGCTAGAAAGACCCCACCACTGGGCAAGGGCTGAAAACCCTCCCTGCATAAACTTCATGGAGGATTGAAATCCCAAAGTAATTAAGCTCAAAAGGAACCTCCTTTCCTACTCCCGCCCTGTTTACCTCATTATGAGGAGGAGGAGGCCAGCCCAGGAGTTCTGCCCACAGGAGGGGGTTCCTCTCTTGGCACCCAATATCATGTCCTGACCAGCTGACCCACTGTCAGCTATTCGGTGCTGTTTTAAATGACATATTTGTTTCTTGGATGGATTATCAGTTTCTGCTTATCTGAAACCTTCCCTTATGTTTCCTCTCCAAACCCAGGTGTCATTTAGGTACCACTGTCGATTGTACAACGAATGGCGTCGGACCAATCAGAGGGTGATTCTCCTCATTCCAAAGTCTGTCAACATACCTTCTACCCAGCAGTCCTTGCTGGGCCTTCATTCTGTCAAGAGGAACTCAAAAGAGACCATTGTTTGATGTTTGTGTGTGGGTTGGTTGATTCGATGTTGAGGGTTTGGAAGTTTCTGCACTGGGGTTATGCACTGAGCCACCCCCAAACCCTTCCTTAAGCCCGAGGGCCCGAGAACATCCAGAGCCTTGTGAGCACATCGCCCTGAGCAAGAAACCCTGCCAGAAGAAAGCAAATGCTGTTTTCCTTCAATCCATGGATGCTGCAATCATATGATATTTGCTAAGCTGCCAAACATGTTTATTTAGCAGATACTGTATGGAATTTTCTGAACACCTCTTTAACATATGGGGAAGGTTGTCCTACTAAGGATGCAATGCAATTCTTCCTTTTTTATTACTATTTCAAATATATATAAATATATATATTAAACTTAGATGATAATCAAAATTGAAAAGCCAATGTTAAAACTGGTTTCTTGGTTTGGATGGGTTTTGCTTGAGTTAGTTGATTTGTTTCCCATTTTCTACTGTATATTATTTGGGGTGATTTGATAGCTTGAGTGTCTTTTTTCATCTCTTTCATATCCCTGCCTCAAAGAGTCAGTGCAACAACCACAGATTAAGTCATATTTGAAGAATGTTTTGTACTAAACTTTATTTAATATTCCGTTTTTAAAGGGAAAAAAATAAGGTGTGGCAACTCTCCCCACCATGAGCTGTTTATTTAAATTTCATTGAGGGGAAAAAATGGTGAGAAGCACGCTCCTTTCAACTTGTTTGGTACTGCCAGCTGATAGAAGCTATTTTCTAATAATAAATATCCAGTGTGTGAAAGACAAACCCCAGTGATTGCAATACTCTTTTTTTAAAAAAAAAAAATCATGAAATCTGTAAAGTTTCCTGAAGTAGGTTTAAAAAAAAATTGTTTGACTCCACCTTAGTTGGTACATGTCTTAATTCTGCATTCACAAGGAATTGGAGGATCATTAGACATTTCTAGGAACCTTGCACCTGTTTTGCATTTCAATTAGCGTTCCCATTGCTCTATCGAATTTCCAGCTTGACAGGTAGATATGGGGGGTGGGGGGGGAAGGGGCTGTCCAAGCAGCCTTAGGCCCCTTTTTGTCTGATTCACAGAAAAATAGGGTCTCACACAGAGCCTTTCCCTAAGCAAAATACAGTCTGACAGAAGCTGAACTGGAGTTCTTCTAAGCTTTCTGGTCACTCTATGCACAGGGTCTCACTGGATGCTGTGCTCATGTGTGCCGGGAAGCTGGTGCAGATGTGTCATCTGAGGGAAAGCACTGGCTTGGATTAGATAACTCCCAATTTCTGCCATTGGCCCACCCACCCACTCCCCTGGGAAGGAGAAGGAGGCATCCAGCTTTGGGAAATACTTAAAATACAGATTTACAGAACATGACCCACATTTCGACTAGTACTCCAGTGTCTGCCTCCTGGTCCCCAAGCAGACAAGTTGGTGCACGGGTGCTGGTGCAGAGGGTGCCACGTTGTTGGTGGATTGATTAAGCCAATGCAGGTGTCGCCTTTGTCTGGAGTCCTCTGTTCACAGCCCGGGGCTGCTCGGGGAGGGAAACAGCTGTAGTGCTCTCCACCACGAAACTCAGATGTGCTTTATGGCCTGTGACAATAGATTTCCTCCCCACCCCGCTCCACTTCGACACTTCAATTCCAGTAATATACGTCTCAGCCCTTCTGTTTACTCGGCCCTGTTTGCCCCTCTGGGCTGTCATTAGCCGCACCACCATCAACCGTTTCTTAATTGACCTTTTTAAAATGCTGGACACCACTGGCTGCACGCACCTGCCACACATTAAATTTCCAGAGCCAAGAGTCCAACTTGGTAGTTTGTGAATCGCAGCCCTGTAATAGACATGATAAATGATGTCTCCCCAGCCTAGGTCCCTGAGCTGTCAGCTTAGCCAGTGACGCCGCTCCTCTAAATGGTACCACTCTTGAGAGATCCAAACCCTCTCTCTTCCCCACTCCTACCATGAATTAAGGAAGCAGCAGAGCCCCAGTATTGTCTCCTGTTGATGCTTCCGAGCTAACAATGCTCCATATCACGGGCAAACAGGGCACCCCGGCAACCCCTACCCAAGGAAATGAGTCAGAGTCCCAGGGGGCTGAGTAGGCTATATATGGGGAGCTGGGAGCCCAGAGTGGCATCTGCACGTCCTACCCAGGCCTCCAGCTGGGATGCTGTCGGGGTTCCATCAGCACAAGGCTTGATGCTGAAGGTTCCTGGAGAAGCCCCTTCAGCTCTGAGGTATTTCCAGCTGGGAGCCACCTCTATTATAGGAAGCTCCAGCTAAGTGGGCTGGGGTGCTCCGGGGCTCCCCTCCTAGCCAGGCCTCTGTGCCTGGAGGAATGGCCAGCTTTTGCCAACACACACCAGGGCTGCAAAATTCCCAGTCACCCAGCTAGCTTTGTACTCTTTACTTTGCTTCATTCTTTTTGAAAGATCAAGAAAGAGGCAGGGAGAGGCCAGAGCAGCGGGTACAGTACAGCAGGAAGGTGCTTGCCTTGTACGCGGCCGACCTAGGCCCATCCCCAGCATTCTGTATGGCCCCCTGAGCACCGCCAGGAGTAATTCCTGAGTGAAGAGCAGGAGTAACCTCTGAGCATCACCAGGTATGACCCCCAAAACAAACAATAGAAGAATGCGGCAGGGAAATGACCACGATGGAGGCGGCTAAAGGACCCTGCTTCCTTCCCACCAGCTCCCATCCACCTGCCTGTCAGATCCCATCCGGCCATTTTTCTTGAGACCATTAGGCAAAGACTTATATGCCACAGAGAAGCCACTGGAGGAAACTGGGGACAGAAACCAGTCCTACATGCTTGTCTGACCCATTCTGTGTGTGTGTGTGTGTGTGTGTGTCTGTGTGTGTGTGTGTGTGTGTGTCTGTGTGTGTGTGTGTTCTCCTCTGGGGGAAGGACAGAGGACGGAGTGTGATCACACAGATCCTACAGCTCCTCGGGGAACCAAGCAGAAGCTTAGACAGGCTGTAAAATCCAATTACAGGAAAATAAATGCGGGACTTGAAGATTCCTTGTACTTGTCTTGAGTGCCCTGGTATCCCTTCTCTGTGCCCTGAGTGCCCTGGATTATCACTTTCCGCTGGGCTGTGGCCACAAATCACTTCATTTACAGAGGACATAACTCATCTGGGGGAGTGAAGAGGATGGTAGTGAACCAGCCGCCCAGCTGCTGCCACTCTGGCTCCTCACAGAGTCTCTGGGTTCCCCTTGGCTCTGGCCTTCCTTGGCTCTGGGTCTGTCTGATCCCTGCCAAGCTCCACACAGCTTCTACCGCTGTCTTGGCATGCACAAAACTTGTTCAACCAGCCCCTGTCACGGAGTGCCCCCGGGTCAAAAGAATTCAAGGAAGAAAGACGGCAGGGAGATGCTATCGGCCTGTGGATTCTCCCTGGGACGGCTTCAATCTTCTGCAGTCCCAGGAGCCTCCTGAAGATCAGCCTTGTGGCAAGGAGAAAGGTAGGGTGGGGGTGGGGGGCAGTGGGAGGTGGGCCCGCACATGGGACAGGGTTTGGGATTATTTCTGGCAGAGAGGTTGAGACTAGAGTGTATCTGGTTTAAGCCCATCCCTCCCAATTTAAATCCACGGAGCCTTTGCTGCAAAGCCTGGAGGTTCTCTGCACTCAGGGTCCCCAAACTCTCCAACTGTGGTTCTAATGGCCACTATTAGGCTCTACAAGTCACCTTTGGCGGGGGGAGGGGGAGGAATCTAGGATTTGACTTGGGGATACACTGTTTTTCCCTTGCTTTGGGGGTAGTTCTGAGGTTATTCTAACCCTTTGCTGCTCAAAGAAATAGGGGACAGCTGTGAGCCAGACACCTGAACAGCTGCTTGGTCCTAGGGTATCTCCACTGCAGAGTGGGGCTCAGCAACCCCACCTAGCTAAGCCTAAATTTTCACCTCTGCCCCTTGGGGATAATGCTGCCATCTGATTATCCTTCCGCAAAAGGCTTGATGCCGAGGGAAGCTGCCAGCCACTGTTTGCTAGTCAGTTGTTTTGCCCTTACCTGAGTATTGATAAATGACTATGACAAACGCTTTGAAGAATTGCAAATAGTTTTAAATCTGTTTTTAAAAGAAGAGGCACTAGGAACCGGGAAACCGGGAAGTCAGTCAGGGCACATATTTTGCATACTCCAAGATCTGCGCTTGAACCCTGACACCATGTGGCTCTCTGAATGTTGCTGGGTGTATATAACCCTGGAGGCCCTGGAACCCTGTTGGGGTGGCTTTGGTGGCCCCCGGTACCACAGGGCCCACAAGGCCCCTCAGCCTCTGCCTTAGTACTAAACAACTGGCCCAACTGGCCCTATATGGCTGGGAATGACCCCCAGGCCTGCTGAGTTCTGCTTGGAAAGCTTCCAAAAAAAATAATAATAGGTATTAGTTTCATATCATCAGTAGATATTTATTGGGCATACTGTGTTTGAAAGTAAAAAGAAATTTTAAAAAGCTGTAAACTAAGAAATTTAAATTGTGAATTTGATTGAGATCTTTGAATTATGTGCAGATTTCCGTTTCCTTGCATTTCCTGACATTGGAGCTTATGGCTAATTATGAATTCATCACAGATTTTAAAACAACAACGTGCTAGTTCTGGAAAGCAAATATAGTCCATCACTCTGTTCCCAGAACTGAGCAACTTATGTATGAGTCACTGAGACCGTGCATCAGAGCCTTCCCGGAGGCTCTGGATTCTGGGCACAAAGAATGGGAGATGTGTGTGGTCAGCTTGCTTTGTTTTCAGAAACTCCCTGGGAGATACCCTTTGCACTTATGAGGGCCACAGTTACCCTATCAAGGAAATGAATGATGGATCCTATCAGAAGTTTAGTTCTCTTAGTTGTGGAAGTTCCCCCCCAACTCGATCAAATCGAGTTGTGGAAGTCAGATGCAAACAAATGGAGCTAATTCTGCATTTTAGTCTTTGGCACAGTTTCTGTCACCATAGTCAACCTATATAGGTCTTTGTCATATTTTATTCCACATACATTTACCTAGAGCTTGTCAGTTCCCATGTGATAGCACAGTTCAGCACACTGGAAAGTATTTCCTTTAATTTTCACAGCTTCCTCATCTCCTGCTGTTCATTTGACTACCCCTAAATTTAGTGTTCTAAACCATGCATCGGGGTCAGAGAGATAATACAGTGGGTAAGGCTGCATGTAGTCGACCTTGGTTGGATCCCCAGCATTCCATAGGATCCTTTGAGCACCATTAGGAGTTATTCCTGGGCTGGAGCGATAGCACAGCGGGTAGGGCGTTCGCCTTACACGCAGCCAACATGGCCGACCCGAGTTCGATTCCTCCGCCCCTTCTCGGAGAGCCCGGCAAGCTACCGAGAGTATTCGATATGCCAGACACAGTAACAACAAAGTCTCCAATGGAGACGTTACTGGGCCCGCTCGAGCAAATCGACGATCAACGGGAGGGCCTTTACCTTACCTTACCTAGGAGTTATTCCTGAGTACAGAGCCAGGAGTAATCCCTGTGGCCCAAAAAACAAACAAAAAATATGCATCTATTGGTTGTTTCCACAGAGCTGGGCAGTTTTCAACTCTGCCTCTGGTTGCACTGGATGGCTCAGACCAATGACCCCAGTGCTCCTCACTGTGACCTCCCTCCCCACCCAGCAACTCCACTCCAAGGGCCCCTCTCCCAAGAGACTCAAGGCACCAACAGCTTCTATTCCACTTAAGCCTGGACTTGGAATGCCCAGAGCCTCTCTTCCTCATACCCAAAGATGTCACAAATGTCAAAGATGT